TTCAGAAATATTATACCATTTGGATGGAATTTCTGGAAGATTCACAAGCTTGAAGAAGGAATCACTAATATGAAATGAAAGACGAATAAACAAATTCAGAGAAAATATTAACGATGTCTGAAAAAAACTAACGACGCGGATAAATCCTCAATCGCCATTTCAGCGATCCGCCTTTCTGATTATCGAACGGCTCGCTCTCCATATACACTTCAGACTGAATCGTGTACTCTTCAATATAAAAATCGTACTTCAAATCTGCATCCTTCCTATATTCCTGCAAAATTTGTCTTCGTAACGAACGCAACTTCACTGCTTCCTAAAAATAGTGGAGTAACTGCACTGCTGGCAGCGTTATAGCTTGCTGAATAAGCAAAAATCCGTGACATGAAGATATTATGAAATTGGACAGAATTGAGACGGAGACTTCTCAGAGGAGGGGGGGGGAGAGAGAATGTTAGAACTCGCTAAAGTTGGGCGCACCTCGAAGAATTCGTTGGTCACGAAACAAAGCTGATTGTCCCAGTGTGAAGTGGATGGTTGTGGTTCATTCGAAGAATCTTGCGACGTACGCGACTGACACGGATTACGCAGTGTGCAACCGTCCAATATATCACAGGGCATTGGGAGTGCTAAAGCGTTTGTAGGCATTTCTGAGTGAATTTTAACTGAAATTCGAAAATTTTGAGAAAATTTCCTCGAACGATTCCACTCGTCGGATTTTGCGAACGAGTGAATGAACACATACGAGCACGAGGCAATGGCGTTTACACGTTAATCAGTCCAAATTAATTGAATTCTAAAAACAATACTATTGTTGATTATAGTCAAACAACTGACGATGTGTTTACTTCTTCTTTAATCATACCGAATCCAAGACCATCAAATACAAAACGACATTCCCCAATCTCAGTTCCAGATTCGCACCCCTTATCCAATCCATTCATCCAAATCTCCCGCAATGAATACCTCACTATACTGAAGTTATTGTCTCTCGCCATGCATATCATGAAACACTCTCAAACAACTCAT